GGGCTCCACTCCCCCACCCACCTCTACCAACCTTTTCACGAGCCTCCGGGACTTCTTGGAGCCGAGTTATGAATTTTCGTCGCAAACTCCGCCCACTTTGATCAGGCCCCGCCCACCGATGAGGGCTGGGCTCCACTCCTCCACCCACCTCCACCCACCTTTTTCCCGGCCTCCGGGACTTCTTGGAGCCGAGTTATGAATTTTCGTCGCAAACTCCGCCCACTTTGGTCAAGCCCCGCCCACCGATGACAGTTGGCCTCCACTCCTCCACCCACCTCTATCCTTTTTCCCGGCCTCCGGGACTTCTTGGAGCCGAGTTATGAATTTTCGTCGCAAACTCCGCCCACTTTGGTCAAGCCCCGCCCACCGATGACAGCTGGCCTCCACTCCTCCACCCACCTCTATCCACCTTTTTCCGGCTCACTAAGACTTCCCCGGCCCGAATTATGAGGACTTGTAGAAAATGCTGTACACTTCAGAGCGCGCTCCGCCCATTGTGGGCGGGCCTCCGCCCACGTCATGTATGCTGGGAACACCTTAGACATTGCTCCCCTACACCAATTTGTTTTCTGCTCTGTAGGCTTTCTCCCAACCGAGTTATGAAATTTTTCATAAAGCACTGCTTTTTTGGAGAACGCCCCGCCCACCGGGGTGGGTCTCCCTAATTCGATGTGACTTACCAATGCACACCTTTACCCACTTTTTGGCCCAGTTTCGAGGTGTTTTGTCACTGAATTTGAAATCTTGGTCGTCAGTACACTTCATTTCGACGCACGCGCCCACTGTGGGCGGGGCTCCGCTTAGCTGATGTGTGTTTTGTACTTCGTGAGACCTTGCCCACCCATCCCACACTTGACCCGGTCCCTCCAGGCGGATCCCGAGGAGCTAGGGAATTTCGTGACAGACATACAGAACGACAGACGACAGACGACAGACGAAGCGCTTTATAGTAAGTAGGATAGTTATGCTAATGCGTTATCTATAGAATGAATGTTAAAAACTCGAGAAGAAGGAGCTCGTGAGCACAGCGGTGCCCAAGCGCGCGGTGCGCCCGGGAGCACAGTCGCAAACCGCGACATTGTCACCACGCGCGGCCACACGGTTTCGCGCATCAGCCAATCACCGTGGGAAAATCCAGAAGCCATGCCCCTGACCAAAATATGCATTTTATCAGCTAGCACAATTCAATGCTACTATTGCAGGATAAAGGGGGGAGAGCAGTTTACCGCTGTACCACGATGCTTGTTTGTGCCCTAATAGCAAAACAGGATAAACTTGCTCATTTCATTTTTACCCGCGTTTTAAGTAGCTTGCTCCACACCCTCCCCTACCCCATGGACTGGTTTCATTTCTCTGGCTCACGAATTCCTGTCACTTGTCTTACCATCACCTCGTTGAGAGCACTCAGGTGCCGCTCAGCACTACCGCGACTGGCTTCACCAAGTTGATAAGCCGTTTGGACAGAGCGAGCACCTGAAGTAAGGTGTGAATGATATTGTTCACAATACGCGACGCATTGACGCGTTGAAACGTGTGCCCTCGTTTTCTCTGCGCTCTCAACGAAGAGAGAACGCGTCGAGCAAACTCGCCAACTGTACTAAGCGCCGTTCATATAGGAGGTGGAGGATGGACACACGCTCGCGCGCGGCGCTCAGGCTCCCGCCCGCGCGGCGGAGCGTACGCTCGACCATTTTTGGATTGCTGCCCTGGACCGAAGGGGTAGCGTCGTTGTTGGCATGACCTTCAGAATGGCTACCGCAGAAAGCGCGTCGCTGCGAGCGCAATGTACGTGATTGCGGCAGGAACGTCGTAATTCACGCCTTACTTCAGGTGCTCGCTCTGTCCAACGGCTTATCTCCACCAAGTTCAGCAGTACTTCAACCCTCTCCGGACCGGAACTTCAGGAGCTGATGTTCCACGCAACTTCTATCAAGTGCCGTCACTTTCGGTGACACGCCTATCCCACCTTTCGCCTTATCGTCTCTAGAATGACATAACCTCCCCTTCAAAAAGGTTACGGGGCAGCGGTCAACCAACGCGTGAGAGTCCAGACAGAAAAGCACATACTTTCTGCTTTCTAGGACTAAGCCTTTTGAAGGAAGGAAAGAAAGCAGAGATGCTGTAATAGTGTGCATATGCGAGAGTGCCCAGAGAACACTACAAAACGCTGAATCACCAAGCCTTTCGGTTGACCGCTGCCCTTGGACGTCAAAAAAGCCAGAAAGTGTCGGGTGCAGACCATACACCACAAGTGACGACGGCCTCCACAAAATGCAAATGTTTTCTGCCAATGAAATGATTAGCCTGTTGCAGTTGTATTCGATCAGTTGACACTAATTACAACTATCATTTACTAAAATCGGCTATCACTATGAACCACTACTAACCAGCGCAGCGCCAAAGGCGGGGCATGGAAAGAAGTGCGCCTTGGGGCGGCTACGTATCAGGCGACGCAATGAAAGAATCGGGTTAAAGCGTGCGATTTTGGAGAGTAGAGACAAATCGATCGATAGAATAGGATGCAGTAGAAGTGTGAGATGTGAATGCAATAAGTCAAAAGGCCAGAAAGAGTTTCTAGTGACAGCACTCCGAGAACCAAGTGGAAGCATTCCCGTCGCCAGCATTTGTGACAGATGTCCGGCGGGAATTTGAACGCGTAGCAGTCCTTTCGGTTTTTCGAATTTTTACCAAAACAAATGCAATTTTTGTTCTTTTCGTTCTTATCGTGGACGATGGGTCTCAGCCAAGTGATATGCATGCCACAAAATCCGGAAAGGATTTTTTCAAAGCTTTCTGTGTAATTCGTAATATTAGATTGCCAGATATGTGCTGCTAGGCATTAATAACGCCATTGCAAGCATTTACTAATTTATCTTTTTGTTGTTTTTCAAACTCTTATCTCTCTGGATGTGTGCTTGGATAGCGCGCTCCGTGGCTCACTTTTGAGTTGTGCGCGTTTTTTTTTCTGATAAAAAAGAAAAAAACATTTGATGTTCCATTTTCAGTGTATGTACGCCTGTGTGAACTGCTTTTCTTTTGATCCTGTAGAGGATTATTACCAGAATGACTATAAATGCGCATTTTTGCAGATGTCCATAGAATTGCCGTACGAGGAGGTGATGCGAATTGTGCGACTCACGGGTTTCAATGTCGAAAAGGAGCAGCGTATCATCAGTTACTACACAATAAATCGGTTGTCTATGTTGCAAAATCAGTACACTTGTGCATTTTTCGTTGCAAGCAAACCTGTACTTTGTTGATTTTGTCATACTTTTGTTTATTGTAGGGTAGAACATTGGAAATTACTTTTATTTCGGAAAATTTGTTAGAATTCATAAATATACTTGCCTTGTTCAATGTTATTTGCCCTGATGGTTATTTCCATATACCGGATGGCAGCTCATCACAATAATGGGTTATGGATGTGGATCCTAAGACAGAAGCGATTTTTTCGCGTTCGGCAGTATTTTTCGCTGCGGGAACTCCAGGTCCACTCATGATCAGCGGTGGACCTGAGGTTCCCTGCAGCGAAAAATGTTTCGCGCTGCGAAACGCGAAAAAGTCGCTTTCTGTCCTAGTAAACCATAATCTGTGTTATGTTAACGTGTTGGGGAATAGTTGCGTTGCAGAAAAATGTTTTTTGTAGTGTCTTCCTAAATTTCCCCCTTGTTCCGCGATGTTTTCCCACTGCCGTCAATTCATTTACACTGGGTAGTACTTGACGATCTTCTGGAAAGTGGAAACGAGATATACATATTACCGTCGGGATATGGTTTCTATTCACAGATTGTACCTTTACATGTCCCTTCAGGAACCATTCACTTCTGACAATAGCAACACTATTTTTGCCTCGATATGTCCCTCTATCACAATGTAGAGCTTCTCAACGGGATTGTGAAGCATATCGAGTTGTCAAGCTCATGGACTTGGAGCAAATTTCTTGCGAGTGAGTTTTTTGGTGTAACATACTCTTGATACCTTTTCCTTTTGTAACCCTGCATTTTAGTTTGATTATGAGTCAGATACTTTAGATCTTGTAAAGATTGACGAGAAAGAGAAAAGGATGGAAGAAGAGGCAAGTAAAACCAGTGGAAGTGTGGATAAGAAGGAGCTCGTGGAAGACGGGCGAATGTGGCCTTATGTTGTGCCTGTAGATGCCTTCGCAGAGCATGTATTCGGCGAATACACCGACAAGCTGGTGGAGGGCGTTGTGGTGCGTTCTACTCACCCATTGGTATTATAAAGAATTCAGACATTTATTGTAAAAGACCACATGGTTATATCAAAGTACTTAAAACAGAAGGGCGGAAGTGGTGTAGTGGCAAGTGGCACGCTCACCACGCGAGCGGTCCGGGGATCAAATCCTGGGTCGTGAGTCGCCCGGGCCAACCAAGCCTTCCATCCCTCCGGGGTCGGTTAATTGGTACCAGACTTGTCTGGGAGGATAAAAACACTGACTTGTACATCGGCTGGCCCCCGCAAGTCATTGTATAGGCCACATCGCACAACGCCACGAATGTACAAATGGAAGTAGAATGCGTGCCGCATCCCAAAAAGGGATTGATCAACGGCAAATGCTTTATCCTTATCCTTGTCCTTATTTAAAACAACACCGCTTTTGGTAGCTGCATTTTAATGCGATGGTTGATGGAAACGGGCGCCAACTTATGAGACGCAGTTTTCTCGTAAGATCTTTCTGGACTGAGTAAGGTGATACCATTTATAAGATTGCCTCAATCCTGGATTTCTTGGCACCTTTCCACGCTCACCAGCGCCATTTCAGGGTGACCCGCCTGTTATACTTGTGCAACTCTTGCATATGGGAAAATCTTAAGCGTATGTGCCTTTTTTACCAATGCATTTGACAGTTTTAGGTCCTTTATTCCTTCGCAGTTTTTGCAAATGTTAAGTTGTAGTTGAATACATCTCTCTACAGATTACAATTTTTCGGTGGTTAACCCTCATTGCTACCCCATTTTGTTGCTACTCTGTCTTTCACTATTTCAGCATGTCAGCGTTGCACTGCGCGATATATTTCTTTCAACCGTTGCTATGTAGCGGATAAGTTGTCGAAGCGGGCAGTTTTTTGTTTCCATGAAGCCACTATTGTTTTTTGGCGAGTAATAGCTTTGTCATCATGATTTTGGCCCACCCTGTAGTTCAATTTGAGCTGCGCTCACTGCAGATCGCGTGACAGTCTTCGCAGCCATGTCTTCGAGCAATGCGCGACCTATCTTCTCTTTTTCTGGCTAAATAAAAGTAAAACCTGGAGAACCATGCCAATTCACCTTTAATTCATGCTGCATTAAAGACTCTGAAAAAGAAGGAAGTGGCTTGGTGCAAAATTGCCATTTCATTCAGATAGAATGGAAGACTTTTCTCATAGTATGTAAGATAGCCAGAACTTTCCATTCAGAAACCGAATCAGAGTCAAAGCACCAGAAACATAGCTACTACATATAATCCGCGGCGAATCGGACCCAGTAAATTGCTTTCAGGTCGAGTATGTCATGAAGGAATATGATGAATTCATGGATCATAACGTCAAGGGCATGTGGCTAGCGAAAATCGTGAAGGTTAGACATCTTTGTTGATTGTGTGCAAAGAAATGTTAGGCTGTGCTCAACTGTTGCAATCCAAAATTTCAAAAATGCCTCGAAATCGCGTTTAGAGGTTATCCATTTAGTACTGTGACAACGGATATGGCGTTCATTCGTAAGGTGTGTTATTGAATATCTGAATCCATAGTTTTTTTTCACAAGTTGATAACTCATTCATATGGGCTCTTCCTTTTTCGTCAACAGTAGAGTATTCCTTTGCCACGTCATACCCATTTATCGCCCATTTTTACACCTATCTAAGCAATGTTCACGCCAAACGGAGTCATCGTTGAAAATGACTGTCATCAGTGATTGGGTCATTTGATGACCCTGTCACCTGGATAGCCTGTCGTCGCCTTGTTCACCAATCCTCGTACAGGTGCCAGTAAAGTCTCCATCGTCCTTTCGCATGCTAATGCACTCCAGCCTTTCAACTCGATGAACGTGTAGGCGATCATTTCTTCGTTCAGAACTTTTGTGAGGAACAATGACCATCAAGCCGGTAGTCGTCCTTGTGTGTGTTTGGCTTCCCGAGATCTATCGGTCATCACTCTGGTCAGTCATCGTAAAATCGCATGACGTGTCCGGCCCACCTGATTCTTGATTCCTTGGCGAAAACGGCAGTGTTCTTGGTATTCAACCGTTGACGAGTTCTTAACTTCCAGTTTTCCTCTGCGCTTTTCTGCATAGGGTAACTCGAAGCATCATCTTCTCTTGAGCGGGTTGACACTCACCGCACGCTCGTCCTGTCTGCACATAGTCCAATTTGAGAAAAACCGAATAGGCCGTATCAAAGACCGTATCGAGAACGTTCAGGTAGTAGTTTTTGGGGCGCAGGTTAAGGCAGGAAGGGTTGCAGAATCGAAGAGATGGGGGCAGGAAGAGTTGCAGAATCGAAGAGACGGGGGCAGGAAGGGTGGCGTAATCGAAGAGTTGAGGACTTCTTTGTCTCTCCACTACCACTTCGATGATCTTGAGTGTCTTCCATGCCGCTCGCTTCTTTTTGCTCAGCTCTGGAAGCTAGGTTGCTCGTCACGTTTGCTTCCCGACCTAGGTGGTTTAGAAGACTCGTTGATGTTCCGCTTCGATGAGCGCGAGTGGAGCGGATGATTATGCGGAACAGTCTGTTTGACAGTTTCGTTAGATTTGACTACAAATCAACCTTTTCACGCTCTGTGTCGAAATCGAGCAATCGGTCGCTCTACTTGCTCGATTTTCTATGATGGGCATGGTGTCGCAGGAGTGCCAAGGTGGTGTACTTGTCGGCCATCGACCTTCACTCTCATGTCTTCTCATTCAAGATGCCTTTCTGGATAGCGCCGCTGATCTGGGGCAGGGTGAAAGCGGGTCGAGTCCTCGCCGACGATTCGTCGAAGATTTTTGCCTGTTCATTCCGCTCTCTCGCGCGGACATTCACTCTCGCCACGCGCGAGCCGTCTGTGCTCTCCGCGCGTACATTCACTCTCGACACTATTCTCAGATAGTACGGAGCCATGGTCGAGGATTTCCTCGACCGTCATACACTTTGGTCTGTGGAAATAAATCGCTCAGGCAAACCCTTCTATTCAGTTAGATGGTGATTGCCTTGTGAAATGAAGTTACGAAGTCCTGATCGTACAGCTGCAGTAAAGTTAACGCTTGTTCCAATCTATTGTAGAGGAACGCCCTCTGCGTCGACGACCTCTATGGCCGACTCGTCTCTGAGGAGTTCAAAGCTTTCTTCAAGACCTTGAACCTGAGACACTCCAACGAAGGTCACAATGTGTTGATGATCCATCGCGTTGAACCCTCTCAGAACCCTGTTTGCTTGGCTGTTCTTTATCCTGTGTTCTATCAATCGTCTTGGAGCGAATTAAGTGCGTGTGCAGCGTGGAAATAGATGCGCCAGTGGAATGGGCACTCAGGGTTTAAAGGAGACGAGGTCGATATTTTCGCAGGCGAAACGTGAGTCGGAGTGTCGGAGTACACTGAAGTTGCGAATCTTCCTGTGATTCGCTTCCAGATTTACAGTAGCAGCATCGTTCGTTCTTCACTTTGAAAGAGCATTACATTTCAATCGTATCCTCTGTTCCAACCAGTCCGATAAAGTCGTGGTTGATCTTCCTGGCTTGCCTAATAAAATGTTTGGAATAAGCTTCCAGATGCAAGCGTTACGTGCGTTGAAAGTACAGATCGCCATCTTAGTCTCTCTTCATTTTGATAGCCTGTATGGATTCTAGGTCTTACCAACTTCTCAAGCCGTCTCACCTGACGATGCCACTCGTATTGGAGGCTATCTCAGGCTCAGGGGAAATGCCGATTTTGTTTACTGAAGCAAATTTGACGAAACAGCTGTGGCTTCGAGTTTCTGTGAGACGCCTAGAAATTAATGACACTTCAGCTATCAGGGGCGGTGAATAACATGTATTGCTAAATTTGAGCGATATGAGATTTGGATTATGTATAGTACTAGTTGAACGGAATCTGGACTGCAGTGTATTGTTGTCAACTAATGAAAATTCTTAGAACAGCTAGATGTCTTCCTTTTTGGATTCCTTTTTTCTTTGCATGCTCATGATACTGATTGCACAATACCGTCGAAATTAACGTGCAAATTTTACTTCACTGTTATTGAGGGAGTAACGTTAAGAGTAGGTTTAATGTCTTTCACTTTATTTCTTGTTAATTGTTAGATCGCTGGATATCGCCTACTGCTGAGATGGGTAGGCGCTAATGAGGAAGGTGATGAGCGGTTCGATTTCTGGGTGAACATTGGCTCTAAAACACTTCACTCAGTTGGATAGTAAGTCTACCTTCTTATTTACATCGATCTTCGATAGTTCAGTGCTTTTATTTTTATTTTTCTGATACTTTTTTTCCTGTTCTTAAGATTTCTCTCAGTCTCTCCTGCACTGGAAAGTGCGTACGTTGAGCGGGTTTTTTTCTATTGTCAGTTTATCTGTAGCTGAGAAGAAGAATTAATACTGATTGAGAGGAAGGATTTTTTTGAATATTATCACCGATAAATATGAGTTAATGGACAATTTTACCACAGAAGGGATCGTAGCCGATTATCGTAGCTCTCATCTTGTTGGCTTTCCTTGAAACTTGTCCTTGGGCACACCACGGAGCAACCATTTCACCCCCAACTCAGTCTTCGATGGAGATACCTGTAGCAATACACCGCATTCACTCGTATAAGGTGGTGAACCGCTTGGCCGATATCGGCAGAGAAGCGCGAGGCTAAAAGTTTTACCAGATTTTGCCGTTCCTGACTTTTTCACTGAAATGAAACTTTTTCGAGGCAAGTCAGAAACGGTAAGATCTTTGAATGTGTTTTTCGGGGGAATACGGCGATGTGACACAACGTGAAGTCACCTTCGACTCTGTCTTATCGAGCAAACTTGACTCGACTAAATCGGGCTCGTGTTCCAGAAATGAAATTATCTCTAACACAGCCGCTCAAGAAACGCGCGATAGAGCATTTTTTGGCCTAGTGTCTGAATCCAAATCACCGTAATGGCACATATCGCCATTAAGTAGATGTGATGATTACACTGGAATATGAAAATAGAGGGTGTGGAGTGGTTGCGTGGTGGGGAAGAAGGAGAAGAAGTCATTAAAAGCACTAACAATATGTACGAGTTTCCTTGGTCTGCGCTGTTGACGTCGCTGCCCACCTAAGAGCACGTAGTGAGATAACTTTAACGGTGTCGATGTGATTGTATGGCAGAAGGATACAAAAGAGCATTGTAGAAAGCGATGCACATATACGCAACGATGGTGTGCACTGATCCAATGGTTGCTCACTGGTCTATGCTAGCGCTCTTCCTACGTGCTTCGGGTCGTTTTAGTGGCATCACCTCTGCAGTTTTGGGACGAGCAGCCTCATTACAAGTAGTTTCATAACAGTAAACCCATCGCGATTCGTATATAAGGAGCGTTGTAGCCTACATTAAGAGGATCAGGAATCTCCGAATCCCTATTCTCACAATATCCACTGTATGAACGCGGTAAAACAGAGAATTCGTGAGCCAGGGGGAATGTGAAGACTTCAAGGGGATGGTGTGTACAGAGAATCATTAACATGCGTGAAAGTCGAATGTGCTGTCACTCACAGAGCTGTAATTTGTCGCCCCACTGTTCCACCGAAGAGGTTAAAACGAGCAGGGCGTTTCGCCACCGATCGCCTTCTCCCACAAGTACCCTAGCACCCAGCTGTTTTTCCTCTACGGTGAGTATAATCTAGGACATGTCCGAAATTCGTTATTTGAACTATTAGCAGACGTCTCGTTATGTCATGCCCGTTATGTCATGTTATAGTACGCGTTTTTGAGAGACGTCTTGTAGATGTTTACAAGTTCACAACAGTAAAGTGAATGGCTGTGTAGTAGCTTCGCAGAGAATTTAATGTATTTCAGTGGCTCGTCGTTGCAGTATAATCGACTCACGTATGTTTTTATGCCACCAAAATTCGTTGCTGATCGCTGGCTAAGTGACGGTGAAGAAGCGTTGTCGAAACATATCCAGTCGACAATGATTCCTCTGCAGCATGTCCGAACCTTGCGTAAGCATTTCGAGGATGACAGAAAACGCATGATTACCGACACAAAGTTTCAAGGTATGTGAATTGATGTAAATCTTCGAGGTTTGTGAAAAATATAAGAAAATTTACCTTGTTATGACGCTGCATGATCAGATGTGCAAAAACTGGCAAAACTGGAATAATTCTTTTAGGAATTTTCGCCTTTTAGGAATTGTGGGCGCAAAAAATAATGTCATGTGAGAATTACATGGATCATCGATGGCTGGTGAAGAGGTTAGGGAAAGGGCTATGTGCTGTACTGTAATCCGCTTTCGGAGCTGGAGTTCGATGAAGTAGCTAACCATACTTACAGTTTTAAAGAGATCCTTTTCTTTTCATTGAGAGTTGACTAGCGCTGTTCTGTGTTCTGGTTCCAAGAAGAAATTGCGCTCTTGTAATTTTATCAAATTTTTAAGTGCATAACGTTTGTTGAAATAATGTGGAGGGAACAGTCACAATGCGATCCGTGGATGAAACCCAGCCTAGACTGGTGACGGCCTGTATACCTCCGGTGCAGTTTTATGCGCGATTTTTTGAGACGAAAACGCTGAGTTGAGGGTCGACTGGCTAGCGCAGTCACCAATGCAGACACTCTTGTAAGGCTTTTGCTGTCATGAGTAGTGCATTCCGGAATGTTTGACGTCATTCAACTTATCATTCTCGAATTCGCCCATTTAAATAAAAGCTCTTTTCCTGAAAGTAGTTAGATGATTCGGAGTGGTTTAATGAGTGCAGGTTGTAATAGGTGCGTAGGGGTAGAGTTCAGACTAACTGCTAAAAAGTTATTGGCGGGCTAATACATATATTTCCTGCCACGTCCGCCCATCGAAG